CCCCCCCCATCGGAAGTGATGGCCGCACCATTCTGCAAGTCGCTGCCAATTTGCCGCCGCCTTCTCGGCGCAGTGGGGCTCGGTTTGCACTGTTCATCATATCAGCCAAGCGCCAAAAAAACGCTGGAGACGATTTCGCCAGTCTATCATTTACTACTAAGGCATGGCATGAATATGCCGCGACATGACATGAAGATGCCGTGGTAGCCTGACGTGCCTGCCTTATTGCCCGGTGTGCAGATTATCCCATCGGCGGGAGCGGTGCCATCGTGAGCGCCCTGGTTCGAGGGCTGGAGAAGAACGGGGGGACGCTCCGTCTGGGCACCCACGTCGAACAGGCAAGCTAGGGAGGCTCGCCGCCGCTCGGCTCCGTTTGTAGGCCTTTCGCGGCGGAACTTTCGAGCTTCGAAGTGTTACAAACGAATAGCATACAGAGGAGTTAAAGGTGCTGCCGCAATAGGGGGGTGCAATCTTGGGGGGCGAAATCTCACACGTGTAGGAAAAATGAAAAAAGGCGCTGTCCTATTTTCGTGATCTTCCGGCGACACAGGATGCGGCCGTAAGGGCTTGTCGGCCTCCATGTTGCCTCCCAGGTGCACCCCTTTTTCGCTATGGGGAGCATTCAAAGAGATGGTTGCAACCAACAGGTTCACGTAGGGTGTGTCTCCCTACCCGAACGCGGAAGACGAGGTGAACCCCATGCCTTAGCATCACTCAGTAGCAGAGCAAGATGTTTTACGTTGAAGGGGGGGGATCGGATGCCAACAGCACTGCTTTCAGGTTTTTTGGAGGTGCACGAGGGTCTAACACTACAGTGACAAGTCAACCCGCTCGCGAAACATCTTTTTGATCTTCTGTCCGGAAGCGCATCAGTGAGAGATCAACCTCGAGGCACACATGTTGGCGTCTGGGAGGTCAATGTGTACGTGTGCAGTAGTGTGTTAACAGCACTACTGTGGTGCCGTTCGCGGAAGGGGCATTATGCCCAGGAACCCTGCACGCGTTCACACGCGCTACAGGTGGGGCTTGCATGATTCCGGAGCTTTCCTGGCTGCCTCAGTCCGCCCCTCCAGCTCCACCGATCGCTTGCTGGCGTACTTACCCCATCGACTACTGCAACGCCGTACCTACCTACTTCTATTCGTTATCGTGCGTCCGTCTGACGTGTCGTGACTTCGTGTTTTTTCAAGGTCTTGGTGGAAGACAAGAAAGCAGTCGGCGTTCAGCTGAGAGGGAGGGGTGCGGGGGCGAGAGGGCGAGGCCGGAGCATTCGGGCCAGGAAGGCGGTGGTGATGAACGCCGACCGGTGGGCCGCGGCCAAACTCTTGCCCGAGGGAACTATTCCCGACGAGAAGAGGTATGTCGGTTTTTTTCTTGTTCGATGAAGAGGAGGTACATGCGCTTTCGCGCGCGCGTGTGTGACTGTGCATGACAGCTCAGCCTCAGCTGCTGCGGCTGCTGCGGCTGCTGCTGCTGCCGCTGCCGCTGAATTGTGGGGATCAAAGTCGGAACTTGCGGGCGCTTGACGTCGTCACCTTTGCCTCCGGTGTTTTTTGTTGAGAAATTTCCACTTATCGTCGTTGCTGTCGTCGCTACACGTCGTCCGTCCGCCCCTCACCGGTGCTGTGCTGTGCCGCGCTGTCCTTTGCTGCGCTACGCTGTGCTCCACGTTGCGAGAGAAGGGAGGAGGCCGAGGGCACCCCGAAGACGATGTCGTTCATGCACCTTCATCTCGGCATCGACGGGGACCTGCCGCCAGGAACAGACGTGAGCGACCTAACCCCATGCCGCGGTTGGTGCCCGGGCCAAATCTTTAGGATGGGTGGTTCCAGGCCGCCCCCGCCCCGCTCCTCTACTAGAATGTGATCGTTGAGCTTCCAGGCTGGGTGTCTGGGCTTGTCAGAAAGAAGGAGGAGGGGATGGGCTGGGTAAAGAATACCGAAACGGTATTTTGCCGAGAGAGTCGAGAGCGCGCACGCGGGTAGTGGGGTATCGCATGCAGGCGTAAAGTCTATGCTCCGCGAAGAAGCGGAGTGCGTGGCCAGTATCATGGGGGCCGCAGGCGAGTAGCAGGCGAGTCCCCCCCCCCCCGCGTCTTGCCGTATGCACCCACATCGAACCCACGTGCGTACCTTCCTTCCGTGCGGTGGTGATTAATCCCTGTTCCTGCGGCGAATGACTCGACATCAAACCGGGCGGCATTCGCCCCTCCACCGACGACGCTTGTGCGTCTGATCCCCGAACATTCTTCTTGAATATCACGTGCTTTCGGTTTTCGCCGGATTTTTTGTGTTTGGGTCCGTGGAACAGCCTCACTACACGGTCGTGAACCGGTGGAACGACACGCTCGGGGAGCAAAACATGATCGCAGTGTCTCTTCCGACTCTCCTCGACCCATCGCTGGCGCCCCCCGGACATCACATCATCCACGCCTACGCAGCAGGTGAGGTAAAAAACACACTTTGTCGATACTGCTGCAGCAGTGGCACTGGTGTTTGTTGTTGTACTTGTTTTCATATCGTTCACTGGTTTTCATTTCCTAATTTCGAAGCCAACACTAACCGTTTCACACTCTTACCATATTTTGTGTTCCGTTCCCACCCGTTGAGGCACCGAACCAATCCCCATGGATACTGTAAGCGTCTTGAAGCCCGTACAGGAGGGCACCGTCCCCCCAACATCAGTTTGATCCCCCGACAGCATGCTGCTGAGACGAAGTCAAACGGACGTGAATCGGTGCGGGTAGGCCCACCTGCCTCCACATCATTCCTGCACGAATAGTGTGCGGCGTGGTGACGTTATGTCAACCCTGAGCCGAGCTTGTTCAGGGTTTGGTCAAAACTTCGCTTCCCCATTGAGTGTAGGCGAGACGAGTCGGTCCAAGCCGAGGCTTTCAAACCTCAAACGCGCGAGCAGCTGCCTATCTAGGTTGTGGGCATCTCTAAGCCAGAGACGCAGTCTCTCCGTCGAACATTGTCGGACGCCACGTGGGGTGTGTGATCGGATTTTTCTTTTCGCTTCACCCTTTCAGCCTTGTTTGTCTGGTGTTTGTTCGGGCTTCATCGCCGAGGTCGCAAACACTCGTTCGGTCGGTCAGCAGCAGCTTGTCGATCACACCCCGCGTCCTACAGCAGTCTCGCACAACCCTCTAACCTGATTTGTTGATTGCAATTCGAGGTGTGCCTATTCGCAAGCTGTTGACCAATGAAAGAAACTGCCGCTCTGATAGTCTAGTTCATGTCCTCGAAACCTTCATGTGGTCAGGGGCAGGGGTGCGAATCACGGGGAAAAGCGGGATTTTCTTGCAAAGTGAGTTTTTCTCTCGCTGCTGTTCCTGGCCTGGGTGGAAACGGCTAGTTCGTGTGTACACAGAGGGATGAGAGTGCCGCACTGTCCTCGCAAAAAAAAATCGAAGGAAACGTACCGCAGGAGGGGTGGGTTGCCATGCACGGGTTAGATTAAACGGCACAAGCGCTGTGAGCGCTCATTTGATGTGAAACACACACACACAAAAAAAAAAACACGCAAGCGGCCCGCTTGTCCCGCGTGAGTCACAAGATGATGCCGATGTCATTACAAGAGGGAGGTGGTGTACCACAGGCAGCAAGTAGCGTGCCCACAGACACACCTCTTACTTCCCCCTCTCTGTTATATTTGTTGTGGTCTTCACACCGAAAAACCGTTCCGGTCTCCGCTCAGTTCGTTCTTATATCCGCGCTGATCCAACTGACGCGAACGCCTTCCGTGGTCACAAGCCAGGTATCCAAAAAGGTACAACCCTTTCTAGTACGAAACAAATACACGAAATTGGCCCAGAAACGGGAACAACGACGATTTCTCACGTCTTGTACCGTGTTGTTCGCTCTCTCGGTGGCATCTTTTTGGCAGCGAACGAGCCGTACGAGCTGTGGGAAGGACTAGACCGACGAAGCAAGGAATACAAGGACCTCAAGGAGGAGAGGGCGGAAGCTCTCTGGGAGGTTCGGGATGAGAGCGTCTCTGTTGCTCTGTTGTTTTTGTTTTATTTTTCATTGTTTTGCTCGTCGTGTCTGGTGTTTTGGTCTCTTCGCCGGTGTGCATCCGCAGCTACCTTCGCACCCGTTCCCTGTCCCTGTTCAAAATTATTCGACAAGGTTTGCCGCATGACGAGGGAATGTCGAATTTCAGTAACGCTCCAGCTTTGCTTGCCGTTCCGTTGGTGGAGAGTCACGGCGGGCGTGGTGAAAAAGCGCGGGTTGACCACCGGCGGCGTGTTTTTGTCTCGCAATAAGGGGTTGTGTCATGACCGGCGTCTGAGATGTCATTGCTGCTTTTCGGACCCGCTTGATTTTTTTTTTGTTTTCTTCACTTCAAATCAGAGCTCACAGCATTTGTTTGGTTTCACCAACTTCCGTAGGTAGGCCATTCGCTGACGGCGAAAGCGAGGGCATTGAAGGAAGAATCGCCGGTGGCTGCCACTGTTGGGTATGCCGCTACTGCTACATTGCTCCACTACTACTACCACACCTGTTCGAGGCGTGCTTTTGCAGCTGCGTCTTGCCGTGTCGCACCCGGCGACGTTCTTATTCCAGGAGGCGTCCGTCTCCTTCCTCTTGCTTGTGTGCGTGGGTTGTACGACTCTCAGGCGGTGGAGCGCGTGGTTCCGGATGCTCGGAAGCTGGCCAAGACTGTCCTCGTCGGATCCCCCCTCACCCACGAGCGCTTCAATAGGCGAAGGTCGGGAAGGAGTGGTGGTTGTGTCTTAGTGTTTCGTCCCTCTTCGTTGTTTCGTATGTTAGCTCGGTTGTCATTAGCCACAGCCCCTCCCGGTGTTTGCCATCGGGGTTGGGTTTTCGTCGCTTGGCAACGACGTTGTAAAACAAGCCGCCCCCCCCGGTGTTTGCCATCGGGATTGGGTTTTCGTCGCTTGGCAAAGACGTTGTAAAACAAGCC